TGATGAAGTTCTTCCTAAGATGAACGCTGAGCTTTAGTAATTATTGAATCAAGGTGTTTTCGAATGGTTCCGATTATATATTCACCAAAGGTAATCCAATTTTTGCTATAAGAAACGCGCTGAACTGCTGTTTCTGTTGCAACAGTTTCTTTTGGAAACTCTGGAATAATCATGGAAATTTCATGAAAGATTGCCTTTTGAATATTAACTATGTCAAAAAATGCATCAAGATATACACGGACATCTACTTTTGGAGCAATTATCCCAACTTCCGCCAAAGTTTCCTGAAATTTGAGACGCTGACGTGCAGGAGAATCATAATTTGAAATATCCAAAGATTCAAAATTTTTGACTAGATCATCCATATTAACTTTGGTTTTAGAATTATACCTATATATAGTTTAAAGCGAAAAATTATAAGCAAATTGAATATATTCCTAAACATTAAGAACTATTAACTTACAATAGAGATACTGCAGCCTCGTATGCTAATTTATATGGAGGAGACTTGGTCGCCAACATTAATCGCATCAACTTTCGATATATGGCTAGAAGCACGGATATATGATTACTCCATCTTTCGTCATGCGATGTCGGGATATGATATTTTTCAAGTAATATGTATTGTTCTGTTGGTATAACTTCTGGAATTCCTTGAAATGCAGGATCTTTTTCCATAATGTTCATTTCTTTTTTGCTTTTAACTTTCGGAGGCATTTTAATTTCATCCAAAATTTTCTTTCGCTTATTTTCTAGTTGTGCTGTAGCATTCTTAATACTTCTGTTTTGTTCTTTCAATTGGTATTCACATTTCATTAAAAATTTTTTGTTCTGTATATCCAAAACATGTTTTTTCGTTGCTCTTCCGTAACGATATATAGTCTTAACTGGAGCACGGCATTGTGGACAATTTTTCGAATCTATTATTTTCGAGGTAATTGGTTTGATACGGATCCAGTTGTTGTCATTATCTATTTCGTAATATTCTTTCATATTCATCCAATTATCTAAGCTTTCTGCTGTGTATACATGACCACACTCTAAAACAACCATTCGTTCAAGAGTCCAATCCACTTCTGCAAACGTTTCTTGCATAATCAAATCAACAACTAATATTGGCAATCGAAAAATCAGTAAAAATAATTTTTCGCCCATAAAAATTATCTAGTCATATTAAAAAAAAAAAAAAAACCTTGATTTTTGACATTATCATCTGTAGTGCAATCTGCACAGTACTTTGATGATGGGCATTTCTCGCCTATAAATTATAATGAAAAAATTAACGAGGCATATAAGGTCAAATGTTTTGTTAATAGATATATACGGAACATCTTCACAATAATAAGATTTACCGCAAAGACCAAAACATTGATGTCCACAACTTAGCAATTTTTCACATCGCAAATCGCATGGAAGTCGGATGCAAGGTACACCACACGGTAAGTTGCAAGCACCCTCATGTTCACATTGCCATTCGCATTCTATAAAATTTAACTATATATTAAATATTCAGATATATTTATGTCAATTCGTAACTACTTTATTACCTTCAGCACACACCGAGCAAGGTTCCGAACAGATTTGTTTGCATCTTGAATGCACACAAGAAACATTACAGAGACTTTTACAAGGTTTACACGATCGACCATCATGACATCTTTCTTTACATATGTGACCTTATATTAACAAATAGTAAATTTTTAGAAATGATATTCACGGATTTTTATAATAAAAATGAACAGAAACAGAAATATTCATACCACAAAATAAGTTCCTAATGCCGTATATAAATAACTACATTAGCTTATAAATAATAATACATTTAGGAAACTCAATTCCGATAAGTACCTTTCACATCTCTGCATGCATTTTCCGTGCTGCGATCTAATGATTTGACCTACGGTGTCTAAAGGCGGATTATTTGGATTCGCTTTCTCAGACAACTCCTGGCAATCATAGCATGTAGACATGCAGATATGTCCACAAGGGAGAAGTTTTTTACATTTTTCTGTACATTCGAAAACATCAGCTGATACATGACACTAATAATAATCAAATATATCAGTCGGCAAATTTTAATAATGATCGAAATAAATGACAATATTTTACCTCCATTAAATGTTCATGTTCACATTTAGGCAATTTTCTTAGAACCATTTCACGACAACGGAGTCTCTCTTTATTTTTATTATCGTTACACTGTATTTAAATTAAAAAAAAATAACGTCAAATCAATTAATCTCAAATTTTAAAGATTTTTATTATATTCTCCCAACCTTGGCATTTTTATATTCGTGTCCACATGGTAATGCAATGTTTTCAATCGGCCAATAACATTTGCCACACTCTTCTCCACACATTTTATCTCTACATGGATGCCCACAATCTGGATGCAATCTCGTGCAATCTTTTCTGCAAAAAACACCAATGTGTTGCGGATCATCCGAATGACATTTATATGGACCTATTAATTACAAACAATTCAATAACTACAATTGTGTAAAAATAACAAAAATCCAATGTACTCACATGTATGCCCGCACTTTAACTGTTGTTGGCCTATGAAATTTATAACGCGAAAAAAGATTAAAATTCTAATATAGTGACTGTTGTACAATAAAAATGTATTGTGATAATAAACCTACAGGGCTCGAAACAACCACCGTCTGGAGAAACTTCACTGAATTGTCCAGCTTCATATATGGCATTTTTATAATATGGATGTTGAGCACATATGATTGGGAATCCTGGCCCAATTTGACCACGTTCGTGTAAAATTAGCAAAACTTTTCTCCAAAATTCTGAATGCTTTTCCATAAGTTCTGAATTTCCCAAAAGGTACATGCCATGCTTGGCACGTGACAATAGAACATTAGAACGATTCGTTGACTTCAAAAATCCAATATTTCCACGATTCACATTTCCGGCATTACGAACAAGCGACACAATCACTATATCGGCTTCTTCTCCTTGAAAATTGTCAACTGTACGAAGAACAACCTATTTAATTTAGAATATTAAAACTTTATAGTAATTAAAACAGACCACGTTTTAGTATCATAATATTAGCAATTACTTGTTGAGACAACTTCTTTTCAGAAGCAGTAGTGAAAGTTGTTGGCCCGCCATCTGTATTTTCATTTTTTTCATTTTCAGCATCCATGCTTTCCTCCATATTAGTAATCAATTGATCATCACGCTCGTCAATTATCACAACAAATGATTTTTGCAGTGCGTCTCTTATTTTAATAAGTTGTCCGAGATATGGAGTCAACACCGCAATTTGATTTGGTTTATTGTAGCCATTGCGAACGAAATACTAAATTAATAGTAAAAAAATATAAATGTTTTACATAAGTTAGTTCTTAAGATACCTGTTAATGATAGCCGTCAAGAATACAAATAATTAGTTACCTTAACAAGTTCAACTACCATTTCCACCTCAAAGGCGTTTGAATGTGAATTTATTGCAAAATCATTTTCTCCTGAATCTTCAGGATAACGATGATCCATAAAATAGACATTTTTCTGAGCACCGCGTACATTTGGGTAATTAACGGTTTTTTCATCATCAACGAGTTTTTCATATAGTGTAAACCGAATTAAGTCAGAAACTTCTTTTCTCATTCTTCTTTGCGTGTGCAATTGCGATTTTTCTAGACGCATTGTCTGATCACCATTAACAAGGCGCTCAAAAAGACTTTTGTCAAGAGCGTAATTTATTCCAGTTTTCGAATCACATGTTAAAGAGTACGAAGCGCAATGAGGACGAAGCTAAAAATATATATTATATATATAAACATTAACTCACTGTAATCATAAATGTGTAAGAAAAATATTTTATACGTACCTGATTGTGATCACCAATAAGAATCAAGTGTTGCGTCGCTGGTGTTAGTGCACTCAAGATATGTGCTTCCAAGACCTCACCTGCTTCCTCACAAATGATTATACGTGGTCCTAAATAATTCAATTTTAATTTAAAATCTAATTATGTTTATAAATTCAAATAATCATGATTAACATACCAATAGAACGAATTAAAGTTTGAAATTTGGCTGCTCCATTTGTTGTCATTCCTATTACATCACAGTTTCGAAGAATCTGACGACGGCCTTCATCATAAATCTCTTCAACTTCCTTTTTTTTCGCTTCATACATTTTTTGAATTTTGTCAAGCTCATCAAAAGATTCAGATTTAATATCCTCCTTCCAATATTCATACAAAGTTACTCTTTCGGTATGAGACATTTGCCAAACGTTGGGATCAATTATTAGATCTTCCACAGGTCGGTTACCACTAGGTCTTGTCCAAGAAAGGAGCCAATTTTGTATGTAATCATCATATTCATTAGCATATTCATTAGAATCTTCTTCGTCTTGATTATATTGTTCTTCATCGTCATCATAATTACTAAGAACTTCATATTTATTATCATCAACTTTTTTTTGTTGTTCTTCAGCTTTTTTATTTCTTAAATTATCAGCCCACATCTGTGCAGTATTCAAATCATCACAATCAATCCATTGACGAAATATAGATCGTTTTTTATTTTTCTTTTTGGCTTTTCTCCATCTTCCATCATCTTCATCGTCTTCAACTGTAATTTCAAGTAAAAAGTCTGGTATATCTGGATACTGAAAATTTCTCAAATGTTCTGGGTAATCCACTTTCAAATATTGAGTAACATCATTCCAGTCTAAAAACTTGTTAGTTAAACTACTTTGTAATCGTTCTGCCTTTTTTTCAATTTCTTCAAGTTCTTTATATCCCTGAGCTAACAACCATCCTTGATGTTTAGAACGAGCACGATTTCGGCATATCTCTTCTAAATTAAAATCTCTAATAATTTCAGACCTTGATCGACTCCCCAATCGTACAATATTTTGAATTCCAACTTTTAATAAATTCTAAAAGTGTCATAATAATCATATTAGCTATTAATATTCATAATATAACGTCA